ATTGGGCCTGTAGCATGCTGGGATGAAGGATTACCATGTTAGTTCAAATGAATGACCTTGATCCACTTTCAACCTAATGTCCTTGTTCGACAATCAAGGTCAGAGGCGTCATATGTTTAAATCTTTTAATAGGTTCTTATGAAATCTTAAGATTACAAGTGTTAGATTAATAACAGGTGAGCGATGCAGGCCCATTGGGCCTCTTGTTATTAAATGTGCTCCTACAAATTGACTTGCTGACTGAAAACCATGTATATTTCACATAGCAGATTATTTACAATATTTCCATGAGTGCAGAACACAAGATAAAATACGGAATGATCTATCATTGCAAATAAAACACTCAATTTATGTGGTATTCAATGTCTATGTGAGTACATTCAGTTTCTATTCAACGGCGTTTCTTTTTTGCTTCCACTGTTACAACATGTATCGTGATACGTATAGTATGGTGACCACAGTATCGTAATACGTACAGTATGGTGACCACAGTATCGTGATACGTATTGTATGGTGACCACAGTATCGTGATACGTATTGTATCCTGACCACAGTATCGTGATACATATTGTATCGTGACCACAGTATCGTGATACATATTGTATCTTCATGTTAATGTATCGCTGACGCCCTAGTAAACTGTACAAAGGGATGGTTGGGTGGTGAAGAAGAAAGCTCACTTACTTTTAACCCATACGGCTAGAGTTCATTCAACCTGCCAGAACACATGTTTTCTCCTTGTACTCTGGTTTCTTTACTAGATACTTCAGGAGTTTGCGCTCACTTTCGCTCCTTTACTAGATTCTCCAGGAGTTGCGCTCACTTTCGCTCTTTGCACCCCTGGAATATGTCATAGGCTCAGTGTGCACCACCTTATGGATTAGTTAAGATGACTAGTTTGATCCTTTGGTGTAACGGTAAAACTGACTGGCTTTTAAGTCGGGTGTCGCTCCTCTGTAATCTTCAAAGGACAGGTATCAGCCTAGCCGATTGGTCAGGTTTTCATCAGAGACCAAGCAAATAGCTACATATAGCCGCATGCCTTCAGTTTTGCTATGACATATTACTCCAAGGGTGCAGAGAACAAAAGCAAGCATAACCTCTGGAGTATCGACACTGTCTGGTTTCCTGCATACTTCCATCCAGGCCAGCGTAAATCAATTTATATGAATTGAAAATACCTGTTTCATTATTGTTGGAAACTAGAAAATGTCTAAAAAAAATATAAACTGTTTCCATTTTTGATTTTTCTTTGTGTATTTAGTTATCCACATTAGTCTAAATATAAACAAATTGTTACTTTCATTTGTGGAAGACATCAGTTTAATTTGTCACACTGCCATGAAAACTTGTATTTAATGTTTAATTTTTTCCATCTTTTATTGCTGAATTGTAAAAAAAATCTGATTGTGTTGACGAATTGTTTTAATTATGCAAGTTGAAAATTTCAATAAGGTTAATGTTTTATTGCAGTAATTGTATCAATTATGCAAGTAATGTTTGTGTGAGATTGTGTGTAAACTAAGCGCATTTGTGATTTTGAATGAATATATTGTTTTATTGTTGTGATGATGAAAACAATGAAATCCCACACATTAGGGTAATTATGCAAATTACTGATTTATAACTAATAAGTAATTAATATGTTTAGATCTCATAGTTTATGAATGAATGTGTTCATGTACAAACTGCTCTTTTTTGTGAAAACAAATTATTCAGTCACAAATTTGAAAAACAATTGGGATATATATCTATTGAAATTACTGAAATAATGTTTTTTCTAAATATAAGTTAAATTTTATATCATTTTTCACATCCAATAGCTCCTGAATCTATTCCAATGCATGTTATATAAATAATTTTTTTTAATTTTCACTATTGCATGTAGATGTGTCAATATCTATCTTGCAAAATAAATTGGGTGCTTGATTTCAGTGGCAATACATGTTCTAATGCACAATATTTCTTTTATGAAACTTTTTTGTGCAAGTTTTGTGCAATTATTTTTGATCGAGTATCTTTGTTTTCTTTGAAACAGTAATAAACAACACCTACCGGTAAATTCAGCATGTCATATTGACAATTTCAGTCACCGGCTGATCCATTCCATCATATCTCAAAGCTAGGAACCCATAAATTTAAAATCAATAGCCCTTGATCTGAGGTTTTGCAATTAGGGTGAAGTTGTCTCCCCTGCTTCAAATTGGGTCCAAGCTTGTCAATGATGACTGTACATGTGTGTGTTTGTATGTATGTATGTGTGTTTGGAAGAATGAGGGTAAACAAATTGGCCATTCCCTCATGTATACCTTGTACATTTTTTTTACTGTACAAATTTATGCAACATAGTATTGTTTTGCAAATCAATATTTTGGAACTCTTGCAATTTGGGAGTGTGTGTGTGTGTGTGTGTGTGGGGGGGGGGGGATACATGTACATGTAGCCATTTTATCATCTTGCTCAAGTGTGCATTTTGATGTCACGGATGTGATTATGATTTCCGAATTTCAAAACTGTGATCAATTTAATTTAAGCTAATTACCAGTATATGTCTGTAGACGAAATGTATTTTAGTTGATCTGTATTTCGCTGTAGAGTGTAAGGTAGTAAACCAATCTTAAGGATCCCTGTCCCATTGCTGGCAAAACACTAAAGTTTCCCTGTATACGTTGTTCTTCATTTATCCTGCATAGAGTTACCTCCCCTTAATTTCATTTTAGATGTAACAGAATATAAATGCTGTTCTGGGATTGAGATATTGTCTGCTAGATAACCAAACTACTCGGTAGTAAAGCAAACGTAAAACCACTCAAACAAATGAACATAGGAATCTAACCACTGATTGAGTAGCTGATCAGTTGGGTGATGATAGTGCGACCATATTTTGATCCGAGGTCCAGGGTTCAAATTTTGATCTGATGGTACCCTATTGCATTTTTAAAATACCCTTCGAACACCATATATATTTGTTTTTTTGGGGGTTTGTTTCATTTTTTTTCATTTCATTTTTTTTTTTTTAAATACATTAAAGTGTCGGCTTATCAGAAAAATATGCTTTATCAAATAGTTTTGTCATGCTAGTGAAAAAAATTCTTAATTCGTAGTTCCAGGTTTCAGTGTTACAGGGATCCTCAAATAGTCAGTTTTTTTAGTTTGTGTTACATTGCAATTAATACAGATCTCCTATATGTGTGTCTGCATCTTTAAAGCTGACTTTTTATGTTAGGAACCAGCAATAAGTTTTCTTTCTCTCTCATAAAATAGAAATATATACCGAGACAACCCCTGGTAAAGAGTTAGTCGATCTTCGTT